ATCTATTGCACATAGACATGTTCCAGATCAGTTGAGAAGAAAACTTGATGACAAGTCAATTCAAATGATTCTAGTTGGATATCATTCGACAGGAGGCTACAAGTTGTTTGATCCAGTGAAAAAGTAGATTTTGATCAACAGGGACGTGATCATAGATGAGTTTAAAGAATGGGATTGGACTGATAATGTCAAGAAAGATTCAGTGGGAATCCTTCTTGAAGAGCCAAAAACTCAAGTCGAAAGAGAAGTTCGACAAGAGGAACCAGCAGATATACCAAGTACAAGCAGGCCTCAAAGAACAAGATGCATGCCTGCAAGATTGCAAGATTGTGTGATTACATCAGATGATGTAATAGATAATGAAGGTGAGTTGGTACACTATGCTTTCTATACAGATGTTGAACCTGTTAATGCAGCTGAAGCATTGAAGGATTCGAAGTGGGTGAAAAAAATGAACGAAGAAGTGAAGTCTATCGAAGACAACAACACTTGGTCACTTGTCGAATTGCCTCAAGGCAAGAAGGAAATTAATGTCAAGTGGGTATACAAAGTGAAAACGAATTCAAAAGGTGAAGTAACTCGACACAAAGCAAGGCTTGTGGCGAAAGGATTTCTACATAAAGAAGGAATAGACTTCGATGAAGTTTTTGCACCTGTTGCTAGGATCGAAACAATCAGGTTGGTTGTTGGTCTAGCAAAAATAAACAGTTGGCACATATGTCAGATGGACGTGAAGTGTGCATTCCAAAATGGACCCTTAGACGAAGAATTTTATGTTAAACAACCAGTTGGGTTTGTGAAACATGACAAAGAAAGAAAGGTGTACAGGCTGCATAAAGCCTTGTATGGATTGAAACAAGCTCCAAGGGATTGGAATAAGAAAATTGATAGTTTCCTAAGGGAGAAGGAATTTGTGAAGTGCACAACTGAACATGGAGTATATGTAAGAAGAAGAAAGAGTAAATTGCTTATACTATGTCTTTATGTAGATGATTTGTTGATAACAGGTAGCTACAAGAGTGAGATCAAAGACTTCAAAGGTTATCTCAACAAGGTATTCGAAATGTCTGATTTGGGTGAGATTTCATGTTTCCTTGGTATCGAATTCTACAAGAGCAGTTGAGGTTTGATGATGTATCAAAGAAGATATGCAGGAGAAATTTTCAAGAGGTTTGAGATGGAAGAATGCAACTCAACTTAGACACTTGCAGAACCAAGACTGCAACTGTCGAAAGATGCAGATGAAGATGATGTTGATCCAACCCAATACAGAAGACTTATTGGATCATTAAGATATCTTTGTCATACAAGGTAGGACTTAGCATATAGTGTAGGTATGGTAAGTAGATTCATGCAGAAGCCAAAGGTATCACATCTAGCAGCAGTGAAGAGGATACTAAGGTATCTCAAAGGAACTTTCGATTATGGCATTTTGTTTCCTGCAGTTGATAAAAGAAAAGAATGCAAGTTAGTGGGATACACTGATTCGAGTTGGTGTAGTGATACTGAAGATTGAAAGTCAACAGCAGGATATGTGTTTATGCTAGGTGGTGCACCAGTTGCTTGGAATTCAAGAAAGGAACCAGTAGTGACATTATCATCATGCGAAGCAGAATACATAGCTGCTTCTCTTTGTGCATGTCAAGCAACTTGGATGGTGAACTTGGTCGAAGAGATAACAGGGAAAGGTCATGGAGTAATTATCATGAAGATCGACAGCATGTCAGCTATTAATCTGGCAAAGAACCCAATAGCACATGGTCGAAGTAAGCACATCGAAATGAGGTTCCATTATCTTTGAGAGCAGGTAGCAGATGGGAAGATGAATTTGAAACACTGCAGAACTGAGAATCAGATTGCAGACATCATGACGAAGGGAGTGCAAGTCGAAGTATTCAGAAATCTAAGAGCCATAATGGACATAGATAGTTTAGACACAATGAATTAAGTGGTATGTTAAATTGTAATTTAGTGTGTCGAAACTATGTGTCGAAAAGATTTGATTTATTTTAGATTTAAATAGATTTGATTTAAGTCTAGAATAGATTTGATTTGATTTAGTAACAAAATAGATATTTTGGGCTTTGGGCTTAGGGTGTAAGCTCAGTTATAAATAGAGGGAGTAACTCCTATTTTTTGTAAGCAAGTCAAGCAAGTCATTCACAGTATTTTGCAGTTGCAAAGTGAATAATAAAGTTTTCACAGTTTGTGAGCAGAGAGAAACTCTGCAGAAATTATTTTTCTTGTCTTTTTTTCTTTGTTTGTCTCCTAATTAAATTATCATTGTGGTAGAAATTCATCATAGAATTTGGTGGGTTTCCAACAGTCATAAATCTAAACATATTTAATTAGAATGACATATAATTTTGGATAAAGAAATTAAATTATTTTTCGGGTATTTTTTATAAGTAGTAGCAATTGATTTCATACGTTCTACATAATATTATATAAACATAAAAAGTAAAAGACAACAACTTACGCTGCTATTTTTTTTAATAAAATTCAATCCTCTTAAAAATAATATTCATGAATTTATGAAATATAATATTGATATTCATAATTTTTTGAATGTAAAAGATCAATTGTTGTTTCTGATGTTAGAAAATCAAAAGTGTCAAAAATAAATGATATGAATACGTGTTGATTGTCGGAACACGTTTTCTCATGTTTGACAACTTTACTTGAAGTAATTTTGAGAGTTGTTTGTCCAACAATAAAACCTCTAATTCACAAACATGTTTTCTTCATACCCAGCCATTCATAGGTGTCTCTTTTTTCACAAATACTCTGACCCGCTAAAATATATCAAACAAGACATCTCTAACAAGGTCATGTCGATATTTCAAATTTAGAAGCTTTCTACAATGAATTGTGTGTTCCCTAAATGTATCTAAATATGTTTTACGACAAACAGGACAAACTTCATCAATAGGAAATAAAGAAATCACAAGGCGGTATCTTAGGATAGTACGATATTTCACCAGTGATATATGTTGATCAAGATCATCAATAGGAGTAGCAAGGAGAAAGTCCTGAGCATGTGTGACTTACAAACAATCAAAAATTATTTTCTGTCTAGTGGTTATTGCGAACTTTACTTCCACATCCTTAACAGTTCTACTAAAAAATGTACTCACCAAAATATGTTGTGCTTTAGGAGAACAATGTCCTTGATAGTAAAACTACTAAGGTCAAAATCTAAAATCGCAACCCTAAGATCATCCAAAATTATGTCAAAATATGAGTTTATACCATATATCGTGTTGTCTCTCAATATATGATCCTATAACACTCAATATTAGGCCCTTGTAGTCACAAAAGTGTATGAGGTAGCATTTACTATTGAGTACAAACACAATCCCCTAAATTTAACCGTGATGTATTCAACAGTCTTTTGCAACTCTTTATCAAACTAAATAGTTGTTTTTTTCCATATGATTAGATTGACACATTTTTAGATCAAAAAACAATGTGGCAATGCTCATGCTACATTGAAGTAGAAGAAACTCACTCGGAGATTTCTTAGTTGTAATAGAAGATACATTTTATCAATTGTCCTGAAAGCTCTTTTCATGGACAACCCTTTAATAAAACTCTCATCTTGATAAAGCTTTCATCTTGATTAAGTGTCCTCCAAACAACTTTATCCTCAACATCAATCTACGAATGTCTGACCTATCAATGATAAAAATAAATTTTCACGAAATTTACTACTTTCACATAAAAAAAAGTTTTATATTATATTATAAGTCACTCTACAGCACTAATAAATTATTTTTCATACTTTTCAATTATATTTTTAAACATTTATTTTTATTTTTAAAATTTTTTAATTTATCTTTTCAATATTATTAATGAGTTAAATTTATAAAAAATCTTCATTATATTTTTTCCTATAAAAATTATATTTCTTAAAATAATTTATAATAAAAGATATAAGAAAAAAAGTATACCCCAATTAAAAGAGATGTCAACATTTAATAATTAAATGTGATTTGAATAAGACCGTCACCTTTAAAAAATCTTTTAAAAATCTTTTTTTTTTTTTTGAAATTTAGAATCTTCACTGCCCCACAAGCTGGTCAATTAATGTTGGCAGAAAAACCGGTATATTAAGTTATTAATCCTTAGCCTTTATGGAGAAAATATTTATTTATTCATATTTTAGATTAAACAATGAGATTGTTCATTATGCAGTTTACATTGAGTACTGTGCAACTAATATAAATGATATATTTATAAGTCAGATTAACATATATTCTAAGGATATATGCTAAAGATATTATAATTATAAAAAATTAAATATAATTAAATATAATAAAATTATATTTAAAATTTTAAAACATTAAACATACGTGTTTTAAAAAAATATTATTATAAATAATTTATTAATTTATGTCTTTTGAGACACATTGAATATGTAAAGGTTTTAATTAAATTTTGAAGAAAATAATTTCTAATAAAAATATATAGTTTACAGTATCTAAGATTTCTCAACCAAAGTTTATCCTTTCTTTGAAAAAAATCTTTTAAAAACTCTAATTATTTATATTAAAATCACTATTATAGTAACCAAACAAACCGATATGAATTATATTTAAAGCATAGAGCTGAAAAGTAAAAAGTGGCTTAAAACTTAAAAGTGCCTTGCTGTATTTTGCTTTCATCTTAAAAGTTTTTTGTTTCATGTTCATATCATTAAGCTTTTACTACCATAATAAGTCAAAGCCTATAAATATTCTGCTTTATAGTATTCATGGATCCTTAAACCCTCTTTTGATCCTAGTTCTGTATCTTTTGCAGGTGTTGATTTGAGGTTTTGCATCAATTACAGGTAAGTATTCAATCCTCTAGGCTCATAAGTTTGTTTATCTTCTGCTGTTGAACAATAAATCTAAATTAGAACTTTAACGTTAGAATCAATTCTGAAGTCAAAATCAATTTCTTTCGAGCCTTCTTGTGATCAGGTGTGAAAGTGTTTTTTTAGATACACTTATACTATGGGATGCCTTTCTTCAAAACTTATTATAGCAAGATCAATCAGTTACCATGAAGAGAGAAATCAAAGATCCAATAGTGTTCCTTTGCTTGAAGATTTAATCAGCTCAACTAGTGGTAATGGTGACCACTACCTTTCTCTTCTCTGCACAGCAAACAAAGTATCCAATAATTTGCATTCTAAGAGCTTAAGCTCCAACACTAGTTCAAAAATTTCTATTGAGCCAGAAAGTTCTGAGGTTATTGAGAAGTTGGAACAGGAGAATTTATCTGGTTTTGAAGAAAAAGATGACTTGGGATCTAAGGATGCTCTAGGTAATAGGAGTTTTCACACCGTTGAAGAATTTGATGATATGGTTAATAGAATTTGGTTGAAGGAAGCCCAAATTGTGCGACCAAGTGAGTTTAATAATGAAGAAGATTATGATGATGGTTCAATAATCAAAATGGACATTCAGGTATGATACAAAACACTATTATTAATTAAAGTGACACTAACGAGTAAGACTGTTTTCATGGTTTTTTGTGAGAGGATTTGAGTTTCTTGAAATTACAAGATCAAACTTGTACCACTGAAACTGACATTTGTATCTAAATTTGGCTCTCTCAGGATCAAGATTCTTCTTCCATCGAGAAAATGCAAGCATTATGGTTAACCAAGAATGAGGAAGTGTTTCAAAGTCATAAAACAAGAATGCTTGAGAAGGGAAATAAGAGGAAGGCTATAGCAAATAGACTAGAATCTCTTAGAATTCCATCCAATATTGAATCTCCAGCCAATGCTAGTCTTAAAGAATGGCTTCCTGCAGATGGAATCTACTCTCCTGGATCCTATGTTACGCCAAAATTTGGAAGCTATTCTTCAACAAACATTCGGAATGAAAGTGAATCTAACGAGGATTCTATATTTAGTCCAGAGTTAGTATCTGCTTTTGAACAGTGTATGCAAAAGCTTGAAGCAGAGGAAGAAAACATTTTGAAACAAATTCTAGAGACTGTGGGAGAAGAAGAAATTGATGAAGGAATCATGCAGACCTAAGAAAGAGCATAAAGATACTTTTAGATGAGTTTTGTGAATAACATATAAATGTAAGAGAAAATTTGATTCACATCTTCAATGTTTGTATGCATTGAATTTACCATGAACATTTTTAGGTGAGTTTTTTCTTTTGGAATTCATTGCTAATGCAAGTGAAATTTATGACTATTTCATTTCATAATTGAAGGAAATACATTTGTGACTTCTATGAGATCATTGGTACTTCTAATATTCTCTACGTTGAAATTATGGCGTTGATGCATGTGTTAAGATAAAAATTTTAACATTTTACAGAGGGAGAGAATTTAAAATGACTGGATCAAAATTTATTGTTTGGAAAAAATATGGAGAATATTAAAATAATGTAAATTTGTGAAGTATTTTATTCAAGTTAAATTTAAGAAGTTTCAAACCACACCAAAAATAAAGAATTTGAAATTGGTCGATAATTTGAATGTTTGAATGTTAAATAGTTTATTATTAATTTTTCAAAATTTGCAAACACTCTTTATATTTTATGAAAATTACATATTTATTCCCAATTTTTTTTTAAAATTGCAAATAAATTCTTAAATAATTTTCAAAATTAATAAATTAGTCTTTGAAATTTTCAAAAATTGCAAATTTGACCCAAAAGTTTTAAAATTTATAAAAATATCTCTAAAATTTTAACAATTAATCATTTTAATACTCCATCTAAACAAAATAATTTAAAATGAATAAATTTCATTTGAATCATTTGAATTGCTTTAAATTTTAAATTTTTTGAAAATTCTCAATTACCTCATCTAAACACATTCTTAGAGTGTGTTTAGATGAAGTATTTTAATGAGAGAAAATAATTTTTTAAGAAATTTAAAATAATTTGATCAAAATTTATTGTTTGGATAAAAAATATTGAGAGATGTTAAAATGGTGTAAATTTATGAACAATTTCATTTAAGTTAAATTTAAGAAATTTCAAATGATTAAAAAAAATAAAGAATTTGAAATTGTTCCAAATTTAAATGTTAAAATTGTTTATTAATAATTTTTAAATTTTGCAAAATGATCCTTATATTTTATAAAAATTACAAATTTACCTCTAAATTTTTTTTAAAAATACAAATAAATCCCTAATAATTTTCAAATTTTACAAATTAATCTCTGTTTTTTATATTTTAAATTTCTCCTAAAAGTTTTAAAATTTACAAAAATAAACCCAAAAATTTAACAACAAATAATTTTAATACTTCATCCAAAAAAAATATACAATTGAATAGATTTCAGTTAAATAATTTAAATTACTTAAAATTTTGAATTCACGCTACTCTTTGCATACTATCCACCTAATTCATCATATAAAGATTGAAATTTTCATTTACCTAGAGAAGGTAGATAAGTGTGTTGATTCCCTCACAAAACTTGAAACGTAAGAAAGGTTTAGGAAATATCAAATTCCATTCTTTGTTAGAACAATATTTTATCAGTGTCATAAACTCTCAAAACCCTCCGGGCTTCAGCTGAGTTGTATTTAATTCTTAAAACGGATGCAATGAGTGTTGCTTACCCTCGCAGTTTTGGTCTTTTTGGTTTTCTGTCCATTTTTTTGTTTTGGTAACACAAATTGCATAAAGATGAACATGTATAAGCACGGTGTTCATATTTCCGCCACTTTCTTTAATAATTATTTAACATGGTGTACAACAACAAACACCTTAACATCCTCAAGCCATGTTTTACACTATATGATGAGCCACGTCAGTTCACCTTTCTTCTTTTTACTTCCATCCCTTGGTAGTACAGAAGATATTGTCAAAACACCCAAACTCCTAAATACTAGACAAATACATGAGTTGAATGTATTCACAAAGTTACAAATTTACAGGTAATCAAGATACATATAGTTTCTGCGTCGATTGAACTGAAGAAGACTTCCATAAGTACGATCCCATACACCAATAAAAAGTGATTCTGTATCGGGGCTAAAAGATACACCTGAGACCTCTCCAAAAAAATCTATTTGTTGCTCCTTTTCAAATCCCTGCTTTGCATCATAGACATGCACGAAGTCAGCTGGCTCAGCCATTGCCATGTACCGCCCATCAGATGTGAAGCGTATTGAGCGTATAGCTCCGAGGTTTCCCTTAAGAACAGCAACAGACTTTGATAGATTCCGAACATCCCAAATGCGACATGTTTTATCTTGGTTTCCAGTGGCAAAAATGCAACCATCAGGATGCCATGCAGATGCAAATGAATAATCCAAGTGCCCGCTTAGAGGTGCAATAGTCTACATACACAATCATAATTAAAGTTTGATATTAATAGCTCGTCAACAATTGACACATACAACAGCACTCTTAAGCATCATATATAGAGTTTTTGATGAATATACAAAATAAATATGTAAACCTTTCCAGTTTGAGAATCCACCAGTAACCCTTCTGGGTTGTCTCCAACAATTGCGAGTAGTTTCCCGTTAGGGCTCAATGAGGTATGCTGCAGTTACAATAATGGACACAAATTAATATCACACCTTTGAGTACTAGCAGAGTTTGGAACCACTATGCACGAGCCAAAAGAAAATTAAGAATATATATTTGAACTCTGATAAAAATCGAAGTTATACTTAAATTAAGACAAGACAAAGTTGAATAAGAAACATTCCTATGCAAGATAAAACCTATGTACACTAACACAAAATTATGCACACAATGTTTTCTAATTTTCTTTTAAAATCAACAATGCATAATATCCATTTCAAATCCTTTATGACCATGTATACATTCTACTACACTCTCTTCATTTCTTGCTCAAGACATTCCTCGCTCTCCATTCATGTATGTGAAAGACAAAGGTTATTAAATCAAGGGCATATTTAGTATGAAAAAATGTTTTCTATTTTCATATCTTGTTTTCATTTTTAATTACAAAAATACCACTTTATTTTCAACAGATCGCAAATACAAATAGGAAAAAATTTTACAAGAACAACCAAGAGATTAATATTAATTCCTCTCCTTCACCCAAAGCCTTCCCCTCCTCTCCAATCTTCTAATCAAAGTCGGGTAAAAAAAATTTGATACTGACTAAGGAATTAATATTAATACCTTGGTGTTTGCTAGACATATCAAACGATGTCATAATGTTTTATCATATAACATGTTTTTATCCAACACCTTAATCTTTAAATCTTTCTTAATAGTTTCTCTTCTAGATTTTCTAAGTCCTACTTTGCCTCCAGTCTTTGGACTACTCAATCTAAGCTACTCTCTTTACTGCAGAATCTACAAGTCCTCTCTCTTTCTATGTGTCCAAACCACCTAGTCAAGTTTCTACTGTCTTTTCTACGATAACGCTACCCCAACTCTCTCTAATATTGTCCTTTCTAATCCTATCTCATCTCGTTTAACCACACATCCAACGCAACATCATCTCTAGATGATTTCTCAATCTGCCTCCTACATGATCAAAACTATCAAAATATACAACCGGAAGCGTTGCTTCCAGTAAAGGCTGCATTTTAGGAGGGTGGAATAAGTAATCACATCATCTCAGCTTAAAAGTTGGAAATCAAGTAGAAATAAGGGATATTTTAGTGAAAACAAGAAATGAAAACCTCAAACCAAACTAACCCTGGAATTTCCTTTTTTACGTACCCATTTTCAATAGATAAAAATAGATGGATCTAAGGTTTTAAGAAAGATGAGAAATGACCCCAACGTACCAAAGTTTTAACCTGACTCTGATTAGAAGTTTGGAGGGGAGGGGAAGGCTTTGGGGAAGGAGAGGAAAAGAGATAAATCTTCCTTCTTTTTTCCTTTCATCCGTCCTTCCCAAGTCCCCCTCCTCCTAAACCCAAAAAAAAAGCCTTGGCTCATCTTAACCCATAACTTAGTACTTCTAAGTTTCAAGAGACATGTCGGCACATATGAACATACTCACTTTGCATCCTCCCGAATTAATCAAAAAAGATATTCAACATTCAAGTACCTGGAGTAAAAATTAGTTTACGGGAACAGATTCCAGCTACAAACTGATGAGAAGATGTCAAAAATTACTTTCCCCTACGGGCTATTTACTGCTATTGACAACTATGATTATATTTACTATTTCAATCATGGAAAGCCAAGTAGAAAGACGACTTACATTTACTGGCCAAGGAAAACATGAATGCTTCGTAAGCTGAAATTTCTCCATATCAAAGTCTCTGATTCCACCGTCATTGTTTGAAGCCATGAAATGAACAGCTCCACTGACAGATGAATTGATTGTTAGTACGCAGTCATCCTTAAGGGTCGTGACAAGCGATTACTATCTCCATATCAACAATTTAAGACCCCAAAATATTTATATAAAAAAAGGAAGGGAATGGGAGGATATGAACGGAAATGAAGACCTAGGATGCTCATAAATGTCAACAGCATTTGTGATTGCATTGTCCTCATATGTAGTTCGGGAACAAAAGCTAACCCCGGGTCGATCTAAGTACTGCAAGACATAATGTATCATCAAATAATAGGAAAATATAGACAAATACATCAATTTGGAATATCAAAGATACATAAACAAAATAAAGGTAACATTGAATTATTTCCACTTTTAATCCCTATAATCTTAATTAATCCTGTTAAGAAATTAGCTCAACCCCATCTAAAAAACAAAGGTGAACATCTATACTATATAATATAATATGTTAGAACAATGTCAACACACCAATTTGTGCAATTAAAGTAGGGAAAATTGTTATTTTATGCATGATATATCTCAGTAAACATATCAAAAAGGAAAATGGTAGAGTTGTAGCTTAAGTAACTCTATTAAATAATAAGAAAAACGTAATGATACCTCTACATAAGTAAATAGGATGTACCTTGCAAATAAGCTCTCCTTGAAAACCTCCAGCAATCAACAAGTTATCTCGTACAGCCAGTGTACTAATTTGTGTCTGAGTAAAACCCTCCAAGAGGCTTCCCGGATGTTTCTGCCAGCAACACACTTTTCAAAATTCATAGTTTTTTCAAAGTGATACTTTAAGAACAAAACAATGCAAAAATGATTACCTCACATGGAGCAACATGCCCGGATACATTCAAGACTTCAGATCTCTTAGAACTTAATGAAGACCAGTGAACAATTGAGTAATGTGCAACAAGATATACATCATGCTTAGATGTCGACCAAACTAAGTTCCTCAACTGCAAGTGATAAATTAAAAGTTTCAAACTAATATTAATTAAATTAATGGCAGCAACTGTGTTATCCAGTTTTAGATGTAAACTGAAAGACATTAGCTTTTTTCCCACATAACAAAACAACATATCCGGTATATATCACAGGTATACATGCAGGTACATATCTATCCATCCAAAAGAGACAAGATAACATGGAATGTAGACGAAACAAACCTTATTACATTGATACTCATTAAATTAAACTTAAAGGCAAATAATTTAGAACTAACTTACTTGGAAATGAAGTATAGTTGACTTCACAGACCTCGTGTTTTGCCAGAAATCATAATACATTCCCCCTTTTTGGGTTACTTTGCATTCCTGTAGATCAAAGAAAAAAGGTATAGGGTCAAAATATATTCCCAAAACAATACTCATATGCCTCCAAGCTCCAAGCAAGACATATTTACCTTCTCTGATAGTTCCCCTGATTGTGGTATATTTTCATAGTTTTTGTACTGCTCTAGTCTTGTTTGTCTATATTTCTCACGACTAATACTCAGTCTATCCCAAGGTATACCTTGGATATCCTTTCCCCTCCTAGCTTCTGCTGCAGTTGTATCTGTTATTTTGTTTTCCTGTTATAGAGCACCCAAAGCCCCCATCCAAAAAAGTACAGGCAGAAGGAAAGATAATGTCAACTTCCACATGGTAGTAAATATCAAGCATATGAATAAGGAGTCAAACTAGAAAGTGCCAATAATACTAATACAAATGCCATTCAAAAACAGTAATTTACACATCCCACCAAAACGAAAAAATCTCAAATTCAAACGTTAACAAAGACTTATAGCTAAAAAGACTCAAAAAAACAAACCAAAAGGTCATATTCATCATCGTCGTCATCATCAGAATCAGATTCACCAAGTGCTCTCCCACGGAAATACATATCATCTTCTACCTCTGTCATTTCATTATCATCTACAACATACTCCATTCCATCCCAATGATATTGAGCCATGTTCCTAGCTTCCTTTCACCAATTAATACTTGATACCTATTTCATTAAACAAAATAGCCAAAATAAGTTTATTAAATTCATTAAATTAGAAAAAGAAGGGAAAAAAAAACACCAAATTAAACAACCTAGCCACTTTAGCCTAAAAACTACAAAACTAAACCTAAATTCGAACAAACCTTCCATAATTTACATAAAGAAAACTCTAAAACAGTAACAGTCATAATCGTAATCAAATTTAGAGGAGAAAAAACTAAATTGCATCAAGAAAATTAAAAGAACACGAAGCGGTTGAAATTGATTGATGAAAAATAGATGAATGGATACAGAAAATGCTGACCTGATTTTGAATCTGGGTTGGTGAAGGTGGTGGTTGTAGCTAGGGTTTGTTGTGGATCTCGGGGATAAGGACCGGAATCTAGAGCTAATCTGCGTATGCAAACGAAGCAGATTTGGGAATTATGCGGTGTTTTTAATTTGCGATATGTAATCTCAATAAGATATGCAACAAGCGTTATTTTAAGTGGACCGACTTATGTTTGAACCGGTTTGCTCTATCAAAGGAACGGACCGGTTTAATTCAGGTTTTTTTTTTAAAGAAAATGTATTAAAAAAAACTAGTATTTATACCCGTGTCAAACGGGTTAAAAATTTCTTTAAGTAAAAAAATATTTTAAAATTATTTATAATTTACAAATAAAGTTATAGTAATGAGTAGTATACCGAAAAAAGTTTATCAATAATAAATTACTTTTCGTTTATAAAAATATCTTTATTACTTAAAAATTTAATTTATTTTATTAATATTTTTGTAATTTGTCAAAAAAATCATGCAGTTTTTAAATGTAAAATATTAATTAAAAAATTCTATAGAATGACACAAATATTCAGAAAGTTAGAAAGATATTTAAGACTTTTGAAAATTTTCTAAACTAATCACTCTTGCAAATGATAATAAAATGTGTTTAAATTGTCTGATTATATAAAAATAATTGTATTAATTTTAGATTCAATTAAATAATTTTAAAATAACCATTTAAATTGATATTAATGTCAAATATATAAATTTAATGTGATTAGTAGTAAGTTAAAATTGATATCAAATTAATTGTTCTAATGTGCAATACAATTGTATAAATTTAATGTGGTAAATTAAAAATTGATATCAAATTTAATGTGATTAGTAATACATATATTTAAGTACTAAAAAAAATATGAAAGACAAAAATAAATATTTGTATTATAAAGAACATTTTTAATAAATTTTTCAAATGACATATCATTTTAATGTCATATTATTTGGAAGAATATTATTGTAGTCAAATTATAATATCAATTTTTAACTAATTAAGAAATATAATATTTATAACATTTTTAATTAAAATGTTTATATCAGTTAGATTTAATCAAATAAAGTAACTTAATGAAAAAATCAATTTTTATGAATTTCAAGAAACATTAAAAGAACATTAATAAAAATATTTGATTTCAAATATAATATGATTATATACATAAATCAGACAGAAAATTTGAAATTATTTAAAAAAAAAATTCTCAATCCTTCGATACCCATACAAAAACAACAAAAGGTCGTTCCATTTTATGATAGCATACATATATTTGGACATTGCAAAATAAATTTAAAAGACCTTTTTAGTTGTTGAACTTTATAGAGAATATTGTTGTGAGCTGTTAAAAATCTGTTACAGCTGTTAGTTTTTTGGAAAATAGCAGAATTTAACAGCACGGCACTTTAGTTGGTTTTAGTTACTAGTTGTACTATTCTCTCGTGTGTATATATACATTGTTGTAATCCCAATTCAATGTTAATGTCACTTTTGATTCACCAATATTACTCTCTACCATAATTCTCTCTCTCTCTCATTTTCATCTTTATCAAGTTTCTTTTCACCACTATTACTACCTTCAAAGCTCTGGTTTTATGTTTTATGTTGTTTTAACATTTGGCATCAAGAGCTCCGGTTATTGATCCTAATCCGCTGCAACAATGGCTACCGTTTCCAATTATCGAATTCCCACCAATCTCCCAATTCTTGATTCGAAGAACTACGACAAATGGGCGAAACAAATGAAGGTTTTGTTTGGTTATCAAGAGGTGCTTGAGATCGTCATCAATGGAGTTACACCGTTAGGGGCAGATGCTACCGATGCTCGTAGGGCTACACACAAGGAAGAAAAGAAAAAGGATTACAAAGCCCTATTCTTGATTCACTCTTGTGTTGATAACGACAATTTCGAGAAGGTTGGTGATTGTGAATCCGCGAAGCAAGCATGGGAAATCTTGGAGAAACCGTATGTCGGTGCCGTCAAAGCGAAGGTGGTAAGGTTACAAACTTACAAACGTCAATTCGAGTTAACGCAAATGGAGGACAAAGAAACGATCAACGATTACATCACGCGCATTACCTGGCTAGTCAACCAAATCAAGTCATGTGGCGAAACGATCCTTGAGCAGAATGTTGTATCGAAAGTGTTGCGTTCGTTAACATCACGTTTCGATAACATTGTTGTGGCTATTGAGGAGTCAAAGGATCTAACAACTTTGAGCAAAGATGAGTTGCAAAGTTCGTTAGAGGCGCATGAACAAAGGATGGATGAGAGAAGTGCCGACAAAGCCAAAGCGGAGATCGCTTTGCAAGCGCGTTTACATGAGAAGAACAATAGATCGAAAGGGAAGTGGACTTCTAAAAATAAGAAGAATTTTGGTGGAAAATATCCACAAAATTCAAAGGGTGAAGGAAGCTCCAAAGATGGTAATCAAAGCGCCCACAAACCGTTTGACAAAAGTTTTGTGAAGTGTTATAATTGTCAAAAGCTTGGACATTTTATGAAAGAATGTCGCTCAAAACGCAAGGAAAAGGATGCGGATGAGGCTAAGGTTGCTAGGGAAGAGGTAGATGATGAAGATACCCTTCTTGTGATGATTACGAAAGAGAATTATGGCATTGTTGATGTTTCGGACAGCAGCTACTGTGGTGATAGTCTGTTGGACAGCAGTTGTACAGTTTCGGAAAGTGGTGGAAAAATGCATTCGGATCGAAATGCATTACTTACTATGCGTGATGAAGTTCAAAGTAAAGATGAGTGGTACTTGGATTCCGGTTGTTCAACACATATGACGGGTCGAAAGGATTGGTTTGTGCAAATCAATTAAGCGGCAAAGAGTAAAGTCAAGTTTGCAGACGACACCACTTTAAGAGCCGAAGGGGTAGGAGATGTTTTGATCGGAAGAAAGAATGGTGGATACTCTAGGGTCAAAGATGTCTTGTACATACCGAGAATTAAGTGCAATCTTTTAAGCATTGGCCAATTACTTGAAAGAGGGTACTTAATTCGGTTGGAGAACAAGATGTTACGCGTTTTAGATTCAAACGGTGTGTTGATTCTAAAAGCGCCGATGGCTGCCAATAGAACTTTTAAGGTTGAGTTAAAGGTTATGGAGCATCGTTGTTTAGCTACCGCGGCAAGTAGAGATGAGTGGTTATGGCATTACCGTCTTGGTCACCTAAACTTTAGGGATCTTAAAATGTTGCAACAAAGTGAAATGGTAACGGGGCTGCCACATATTAGTGTTCCGACAGAATTATGTGAGGAATGTGTGAAGAGTAAGCAACACAAGAATGTGTTTAGCAAGGATGCGGGTCAAAGAACCAAAGGCTTACTTGAGGTGGTGTATTCCGATGTTTGTGGACCGATGCAAGTAGAGACTTATGGCGGCAATCGATATTTTGTTACGTTCATTGACGATTTTAGTAGGAAGCTTTGGACATATCTTCTCAAGAGAAAGGATGAGGTGTTTGGAGTGTTCAAGAGTTTCAAATCCATGGTGGAGCGTCAAAGCGGTCGGAAGCTCAAAATTCTCAAAACGGATGGTGGAGGTGAATATACCTCTAGTGAGTTTGGGAAGTTTTGTGATCTTGAGGGTATTGTGCGTGAGGTGGTGCCTCCATATATGCCTCAACAAAACGGAGCTGCCGAGAGGAAAAACCGTACAATAATGAACATGGTGCGTAGTATGCTTTGTGGGAAGAAGTTACCTAAAGAATTGTGGGGTGAGGCCGCGTCTACAGCCACCTACTTGTTGAATAGGTGTCCTACTAAGAAGCTGGAGAAAATTACACCAGAAGAGGTTTGGAGTGGTTTCAAACCGAGTGTGAATCATTTGCGCATTTTTGGATCGATTGCATATCGTCATGTACCGAATCAACTTAGAAAGAAATTGGATGATAAAGGTGAGAAATTGATATTTGTTGGATATCACTCTACAGGAGGTTACAAGCTATTTGATGAGAGGAATCGGAAAATCGTGATAACCTGGGATGTGCAGTTTGATGAAATAAAAACTGTTGAAACAGTAGGTGAACAGCAACAACAGTTTGTTGCTAATCGGTTACATCCTGCTGAACAGCAGCAGTTTGTTGATTTGTTTGATCCGGAGAATTCCGATGCCGCTGTACCTGCACCTATAGTAGCGGAAAATGATGTTGTGAATAATGGTAGACCAGTGAGGCAAAGAGCCTTGCCTCATAGACTCCAAGATTGCAAAAGGTTCCAAGATAACGAAGTGAATAATGATGGTGATTTTGTTCATTTCGCGCTTATGGCCGAATCTGAACCGGTAAATGAGGAGGAAGCCTTAAGTGATCCTAAATGGATATGTGCAATGAAAGAGGAGCTGGAATCTATTGAGAAAAATGGTACTTGAGAGTTGGTCGATTTACCACTTGGAAAGAAACCGATAGGTGTGCGATGGGTCTATAAAGTTAAAGCAAATCCTAAAGGTGAAGTAATCAAGCACAAAGCTCGATTAATGGCGAAAGGGTTCTTGCAACATTAAGGCATAGACTACGAGGAGGTATTTGCATCGGTGGCTAGATTGGAGACTATTTGTTTGGTTGTTGGAATTGCGTATAGTAACAATTGGGTGATTTACCAAATGGATGTGAAATCTGCGTTTTTGAATGGTCCTCTTGATGAGGAGGTTTGTGTGGGGCAGCCACCCGGTTTCGTGATCAAAAATCAAGAGAGGAAGTACTACAAGCTACACAAGGCATTGTATGGTTTGAAACAAGCTCCGAGAGCTTGGAACAAACGTATAGACGGCTTTCTTATTGACATCAGTTTCAAACGATGTGTATCCGAACATGGTGTCTATGTGAGATCGAATACTATTGATGGTGTTATTATACTTTGCTTGTATGTTGATGATCTCTTGATTACGGGCAGCAATAATAAGAGTATTTCAAGGTTCAAAGTGGAGCTCATGAGTGATTTTGAGATGACATACCTTGGTGTCATGAGTTACTTTCTTGGCATAGAGTTTCACAAGTCAAAAGTGGGGCTGCTTATGCATCAAATGAGGTATGCTCTAGATATCTTGAAAAAGTGTGAGATGGAGCATTGTAATGCTTCTATTACACCCTGTGAGGCTAGAGTACAGCTGTCCAAAAGTGATGATGAGGATGATGTGGATCCAACACTTTACCGGAGTTTGATTGGGTCGTTACGGTACTTGTGCAATACTCGACCGGATTTGGCTTTTAGTGTCGGTATTGCGAGTAGATTCATGGAGAGACCTAAGGTGTCTCACTTGGCGGCGGTCAAGAGAATCCTTAGATATGTGAAAGGTACTCTTGGTTGTGGTATTTTGTTTCCCACGTCGGATATGGGTCGCAAATGTACTTTATTTGGCTACACCGATTCTAATTGGTGCGGAGATAAAGATGATCGGAAATCTACGGCGGGTTACATCTATATGTTTGGTAGTACACCAATCTCATGGTGTTCGAAGAAGGAACCAGTTGTAGCACTCTCTTCTTGTGAGGCCGAGTACATTGCGGCATCATTGAGTGCTTGCCAAGCTATGTGGTTAGTGAATCTTATGAAGGAATTGGGATGTGGTGATGATGATGCCACCACACTGTTTGTGGATAATGTTTCTGCGATAAATCTTGCGAAGAATTCGATTGCACACGGAAGAAGCAAGCATATTGAGATGCGGTTTCATTACTTGAGAGAATTGGTTGGTGGTGGAAAGCTTAGATTGAGCTATTGTCGAAGCGAGGACCAAGTTGCGGATTTGTTGACCAAGGGTGTGACAAATGAAGTGTTCAAGAGACTGTTGAAGAGCTTGAGCATGATGAACTTGGAGCAACTAAAGTGAGGTGGTGTGTTATGAGCTGTTAAAAATCTGTTACAGCTGTTAGTTTTTTGGAAAATAGCAGAATTTAACAGCATGGCACTTTAGTTGGTTTTGGTTACTAGTTGTACTATTCTCTCGTGTGTATATATACATTGTTGTAATCCCAATTCAATGTTAATGCCACTTTTGATTCACCAATATTACTCTCTACCCTAATTCTCTCTCTCTCTCTCTCTCTCTCTCTCTCTCTCTCTCTCTCTCTCTCTCTCTCTCTCTCATTTTCATCTTTATCAAGTTTCTTTTCACCACTGTTACTACCTTCAAAGCTCTGGTTTTATGTTTTATGTTGTTTTAACAAATATTAGACATGAGCTATTGAACTTTATTTGATGAAACAAATATTCAGGATATATGCTTTCCATAATTATATAGCAATAAACTCAGAGCATTTCCATAATTATATATGTTTTCCATAATTATATAGTATTGGTGGCCCAAATGGAGGATGTGAAGTTGGCCCAGAAGGTGCTAGCATCTGTAAGATTCTATATTAGATATCTACATAAACTACATGGCAAGACAATAGATCCTATCCTACTTGATGAGCCTATTGATGACAATTGTAAGCAATAAACTCTCTCTTACTAATATCATATACAAAAAGCAATTGTCCATAACATGCATAACTCATGATACCTCTAAATGCATCAACCCTTAACTGATAAGGAGGTATGCAAGCATCAAGAAGAAACACAACTTCTTTTTCCATGATTAGAAGCAGTCTCAAAGTCATCTATAATTTCTCTAACAAACTCTTTAAGATTCTTGGTTCTATGTGGAGACAAAGTGGTTAAGCTACTCAAAATAGAACCCTCGACGTCAATATCTATAATAGTAATGGTTGCAGCTTGTTTCAAAAATTGATTGCAAGAAAAAGCCAATATCTTCAGTCCTACAACCAACAAAAATACATTCTCAGCTGAATCCAATGATTATCAATTTAAAAGGATCCTAAATGGTATTGGATAAATGACATACCAAATTTAACAAAATTAACATAAGGGCTTAGTATTTAGAAAAACCAAAAAAGTATCGAGATCCCTAACAAATAACATATTATCTTTCCGAAAATTGGATACTCTACTTTGAATCTTGTACGGGTAAATTATTCTGCATCCAGGCAACTCCCAAGCTCTTGATTCAAAAACTGGTTACATGGAAAAGTCAATATCTCAAGTCTTGAAACCAACCAACAAAAACATTCTATATTGAATCAATTTGAATACTTTTCTTAATCCCCTTTGAATAAGTAGAACTAATTATAAACTGAAAAGATAATTCTACCAGCAAGCAACTATATTGATTATTAGTATTTTCAAGCAATCTTTTTTCCTCAATAGAAATAACAATCAATATACATACCTTAGTAATTATTTGAGCTTGTTTTCCAACTTCCTCTGCAAACGGGTATTGATTGGCAACAAAGGCATCACAGGTTTTCAAAATTTTGGCTTTCACTTTTTTCACAAGCGTAGAAGACAACAAAAACATGTTTCGCAGTCTGCATGCCAGCATCCATAGTGAGCAAAGAATAGAACATAAAACTGTATATTATATTTCAACAGGAAAACTTTTTATTCAAAAGAAAATACAGAACCTCACAATTATGTTTTAATAGAAAACAAACACAATTTATAGGTAGAGTGCTTACAAATATTAGATGGATAATTTAGAAAATCATACAGCTAGAATCATATAGATGGAGAGATTATCACTCAATGATCACCTTCATCTCAATTTTCACATCCAACAGGACCAACAAAAACAGTTAAAAATTATAGGTCAAGCAAAAAGAAGGGTGTACCGTCGGATCTGCATTTTTGCATTTAAGTGGAATCGTTGGTGTGATACGGTGGTAGAACCGACAGTTTATACTGATTTTGCATTTGTGTTCGCAAATGTTGCGGTAAGCAAGAGTTGCCACCGACTTTTCTTTTATCCAAATTAAGAAAGGGGTGAAAAGAACAGAAAAATACCTTTTCAAGAATTTTCTGAGTAAGGGGGTAGATTATAGAAAGGGAAGGTATTAACACCCTTTCCATCTGTAGTATCTACGAGCTCTTAGATGCTTAGCTCATTTTAAAAGTAACTTGTGCTTTGTGTGTTTTGAAAAATGTTTTGAAATGCCTTAGTGCAGCGATTCGCTTTGTGATAACTCTTGTATCAGTCCTCAAGAGTGTTGACAAAACAAATGTTTTTGAAAGTTGTTTTTGAAATGTGTAAGTGTGAAAAGTTTATTTTAAGCATAGCATCTAAGAACTATCTACTTATGCTCGAAAAGGTTCGTTCTTTTCCTCCTATCCTTTAGATAGAGCTATCCTACTATTAGTGAGTATGTAGCCCTATCATTGGATGTTTTGACGGACATTTGAAGGTACGTACAATCATAAAGGCAACATGTAGAGACGCTTTAGCAATTTCTGTTTAGGGACTAGATCATTTACCGAAAGGCAACTGTAGGGTCATCGAGGGACTATGATCTTTTGATTTACGGGTCTTTGCTAAAGCGTCCCTGTTTCGAGGGATGTGGCTGTTTTTTTCGAAGGCAACCAAAGTGGGGTACCCTAGAGGTGTATATGTGCAAGTGTGTTGTATTCAGTTATTTTTGTCTTTTTTGTTAGGTTTGTTAATGTTTGATTATTAGTCTTTCCATACAAGTCTAGTTACTAACAGTAGTATATACAGTAATTTAAAGTGGAGAAATGTAAAGTGCGGGAATGTAAATCCTACGCTATTACATGGATTTGCGAGAGGTACATTATAGAAATGTGAAAAATAGTCCTAATTAATTCTATTACATCCCGTGAGCAGATACATAAAATAAAAGTAATAATGCTAGAAATGGAAGTGAAATTGGAAATAACGTCTAAAAATTCTAAGGAAATAAAATCTTTTGGTTGTTTTTGTTTATGAAAGAAAATAAAGTCTAAGTCTGTTTAATTTTAATTTTAAAAAAAAAGGTTAAAATAATTAATTTATTTATTTACAAAAATAACTTAATTGGAAAAAATACTAGCCTAATGTCTTTTTTGTGATTTTTTTATTTAAAGTTAATTTAAATAAAAAAAGTCAATAAAGAAATGAAAACAAAAATAAAAATACAAAGGGGGCATCCTTCGATCCAGGGAGAGATAAGGGGATTTGATCCAGAGGAGGGTGGCTATCCTTCGATCCAGTGAAAGCAGTTGTCATTCGATCCAGAGGAAGGTGGCTTTCAATCCAGAGGAAGGTGGCTTTCGATCCAGAGGAAGGTGACTTCCGATCCAGAGGAAGAAAGGTGGCCTTTAATCCAATGAAGGATGATTGTTTTTCGACCCATGAGTGTTGTTGAAAGGGCCTGATGGATCATCTGTGAGGGTACTGAATCTGCAAAGATATGTTAGCAAAACGAAGATGCAGGACCTGGGTATTGAACCCAGATCCTTCGATCCTGCACGCGTTGGTCTATTCAGGATGGATCTGCAACAAATGTTAGAAATAAAACAAATACAGACCTGGGTGTCGAACCCATGTCCTTAATCTTGAATACAGATTGAATGAACTACAAGTGTTAATATGTCATACAAATGTAAAGTTTGATCTTTTTACCAGTTCTTACCAACAGTGATGTATGAATTTATGGCTTCAGGTGTGGGTACCCTTGTTTAAGAGTTGCTTCGATGTGGCACTTCTGAATATGGATGGGCTTGGAATAGACTCTTGGGAGCCTCAGGAGCACAAATTTAGTATTTGTGTGGACTGGGGGTACCTGCAATACTAGCTTCGAATTATAAGATTTTTTTTATAATTTAGTATACTTTTTTTGAGGTAGTGTGTGCGTGTATATGGTATCCCCCCTTTGCAATGTGCTTTAGGCTTGTGTTTATAGGGATGTGAGGGTGCATAAAAATGGCAAGGGACAACCATTTAACCAGGCTTTGAAAGCCATGAGACAAGAATCAGACATATTAAAAGATTTCCTTTTTTTGAAATATTCATGCCTCTTTGGAATCTTGGATGAACCTGGACACTTTTGACTTTCGAATGCCTTCAGGACATGCCCTTCAATTGGTCTTAAGTTGCCTCCTTCGAATGGACTTCTTGTGTACCCTTCGAATGGACCTTTCTGAATGCTTATTCGAATGGACCTTTTGTGTACCCTTCGAATGGATCTTCTGAATGCTTATTCGAATGGACCTTTTGTTACTTTCCTTTGAATGCCATTGCATAAAAGGCTTGGGCCTGGCCACGTGTAGGACCAAGACCCATCATAAGACAAAATTGCATTCAGTAATTATATGTCTCCTTCAAATGGCTCAATGTGTGTTTCTTCGAATGCGCCTTCGAAGGGACTATCATGCGTGTTGAAGTGTGGAGAATTGTTTCAAAGGGGATCATTACACAGTCGAAGCTGGCACAAACGCAGTCAATTCCTTGTGGGTCGAAGGAAGCTTTTTGCCTAGTGGATTGAAGGCAAATTTGAAGAAGTCTTAGCCTTGTTAATCGAAGGCCAGTTGAGGGAAGCCTTTGACTTGGCGAATCCAAGGAAAGCATGAAGAGGCCTTTTGCCTTGTGAGTCGAAGGTTGCATGTAGAGGCCTTTGTTGGTGAATCGAAAGGAACGTGTAGGGGGTTCTTGCCTTGTGAGTCAAAGACAAGCTTGAAGTAGCTAATACGTAGTCGAAGCCTTATGAACCAAGCTTGTGTCAAAGGATTTTGGACATCCAATCGAAGCCCCTTGTCCAGATGCCAATCAAAGACTTTGTGAAATTAACTTCATCGAAGGGGGTCCAACACTCAATTGAAGTTGGTGGACCAAGGCTCGCTCGAAGGGTCTTAGATGCTCAATTGAAGCTTATGAGACAAACATCACTCAAAGGGTCTTAGACGCCTAATCGAATACTGGTGAGTCAAGCTTATATCGAAATTTTTAGATGCCCAATCAAAGCTCCTTGTCCGGATGCCAATCAAAAAACAACATGCTCAGGTTCCAATCAAAGACACCTTGTCTCAATGTCAATCGAAGACATCTTGTTTATATTCAAAAAAAATATTTTCTTTAATCAAGTGTTTGTAACCACCCATGTAAGAGAAGATCTTGGAAAACATGAGAGGGCAAACTTTGGGGTACAACAACTGCCCTTGTTCAATCTTCTTAAACCTAAAGATTTAGATTGGCTTGTTTGCCTTTCGTGATCTGAAGGTGGAAGATAATTGAACACTAGAGTGCCCAGAAATTTGCACTTGATGATGTGATGGTTGATTATGGCGGGAATGGGCTTACATATGCCATTTGGAGAAGATGACAGAGAGTCGTCAGAGATGGGCTTAAATATGCCATCCAAAGTAGATGTTGACTTCCTAAAAGGTCTCTTTATGAGGAATTCTTGTTCTTGCTGTCTGAGGAGGACTCCGCTGGGGAATGTGGGTTTCTATTGTTCTCCTGCTTGAGGAAACTCTATGGGGAATAGAGTCTAGGAACTTCAGTTGTCCATGGCTCTACTGAGGAGTTATCTCTGGACTGAAGAGATGAAGGTTGGTTGTTTTCTGGTTGAAACCCGGGCTTCACAATAATTTGCTAGGGAAAATGAAATTAACTATTATCTGGAATGTATCAGAAGAAACCTGTGTAGGGCTGTTTCATGATGAGTCCGGGTAAGACTTCATCTGGAAGTGTATGAGAAGGAACCTGGGTAGGGCTGCTACATCTGGTCATGTAGATAGTTTTCCT